AATAAATGCAAGGTTATTATCTGCCGATGTCATGCTAGACGGATGTGTGTGAGGTACCCAAAACAGATGCGTGGACTCAACACATAACATTTTACAGGAGAACGGACTGACATTTCTCAAATTTCATTTCTCGAATGAAAATTTGAAAATTCAGATACATTTTCAACCTAAAAGAAGGGAGAATTCATGCTATTCAACTGCGGCTATCTTAACTCAACAACACATATATCAGTCCGATTAACCCAACCGATGGAATAAAAACGGAACCCTAGGCAATATAGTGAGTGCTCTAAAGACAATTAGGGCACAGCCTCCTTTTCTTCAACGTCTTCTCTACTGCAATTGTAGACGAAATGTAAGACATACAAACCTATGGCCAAAAAAACTAGTTTTGACATTTTTTTAATATTGACATTGACTCTAGCAGACTCTCTGAAACATAGATACCGTTACAATGAGGAGTCAACATTTCAACAAGATGGAGCACTTTCTTTTCGTAAGTTTTTGAATGATTCCTCTATTATTAGACGGTCACGGGATTCAGATTCGTTAGATTTTTGTAGGATCAATTGAAGACCACATTTTGGAAAACTCAACAAGTATATCTAGATTCTAGGTGACATTATTGCTGATATCTAAACATTACAGCATTGTTTGAAACAGTTTTCTATGCCGTTTTGAATACTTACTTATTGAAAAAAAAAATTACAAAGTGAACTTTTGTGTGTTACGCCGTTACTTTTCTCTATGAGATGTGGTCGAAAAAAATAATCAACTGCTTCACAAAAATGACATCAGAGACATTTTGACTGAAAATCAAATCAAAAATTGAAATATAATATCATAGACTCTTGAATACCGTTTTCTTCCTACTCATCTTTTTCGATTTAAGGTGAAATAGAAAATATCCCAACTTTTTTGCATTTACTGCGTGTTCTCATTCGGCCACATTTTTTTATAGAAGTATAAAACCTGCATTTCCTGAGTGATTGATCAATTCACGCTCTAAAGATATTATTTTTCGAAACAGAAGATCACATAAAATAACGAGATCCGGAATTAGATATGTAACAAAAAAAATTCTAAACTTTACTGGGAATTCTGTTTTATATTTGAACTATTCAATTGTGACGAGCATTCACTTATTTTTGTGGATTTCATATGATTACCACAAAAGTGTACTTCCGTATAAGAGACCTACGTTGTTTGAATACGAATACTGCGAAAAACTTCAAGCACAAAAAATTTTACTGATGAGTTTGCAGAATTGTTGCTCGAATGAAATTATATACTGTAATTTCATGAATTTTAAAATGAGTTCGATAACTTATAAAACTTTTCTGTCGCTTCCAATCTGAAAAGTTTGATTTGTTTTCAGATATACGTGGATGGAAAAGCTCCTGATCGATATTGACAAATCTGCATTATTGTAGTAATCTAGAAATTCATGATATTATTTCGGATTCATTCATATCTGAAAAAACTGACTTCATGTATTACTTATTCAGTGATACCTTGGCATTCAAAAGAACCCAAAGCAGATTGAAACAAAATACCTTCAAAAATAGATCTTTTGGATTTCATCTTTCGTAACCAATAATTTGGTATTCAGTTTGAATTACTGACAACGTAGAAAGTAATGAATTTATAATGTTTGCAGAGTGGATAGAAATAATATTAGTCCGGGGTTGAATATTTCTCGCTTGTACAACAGCGTACACTGCATTAACACATATGCTAATATTACTACTAGATTGAACAACCCTAACAAACAAGTACAACACGTAGGCTCCAGAAAAACTCTTTCCTTTCTTGAATGATTAACATCTCCCAACAATAAAATGGTAGTGCCTGCTACATTTCCGTATTTGAACATCACAAGTATCTACTGAATGAAATTTTTGCTAAGTACCAACCAAGATCAACATTTATAGTTTCTTTGTTGCTATTTGATCTAACGAAATCGTTACACGCAGCATTGGTAACATTTGACATATTTGTGACTGTCACTTTCAAACAATGCGCCTTCCCAGTGTTCACCTGGCAACTACATCCTCCTTCGGCTTATGATTCTTGTTGTCGAAACTTTTCGACCTACTCTATTGACCTCATCAACACCCCGTAAGTCTCTTCGTTCCTTCGTATCGCGTTACTCGCTGCTTGCATATGAAAATCAAATGAATTGTCGTCTCAGTTCACAAAACGACAGAAAGAAATAAAAAAGTAAGACCGGATTAGCGGGTGAGGAAAACAAAACAAGAAGTCTCTGAGAGTGGGCGGATAATCAAGGAAGAGATGAACAAATACCCAGAGAAAGTACTGGGAGCAATGAATGAAGCTTTAATATCCAGTAAAATCCCTAGTCTGGAAAAAGGCAAGACTCGTGTTTATATTAACTCATAATCAATGTCGTAGCAACAATTCTGGAATAACTACTTTTGTACAGATTTAGAGGAGAGATCGATAGTAACGGAGAACTGTCCGATGAACAATATGGTTTGAACCACCGATGCAATTAATAGAGTATTACAAATGAAGAAGAAATCGAAAGATGGACCATGCAATAAGAGAAGTTTATGTATGATTGTAACCTTAGTCGTCCAGATTATGTTCAACTCAGCACCTTGAAACAATATCCTCAGAGAGCTACGAAAGAGAAATATTACGCCATATCTCTTCAGAATAACCGTCAACTACTTCGAAGGGAGATGGACTATAGTAGGCGAAAAATAAAAGTTGAGAGTCACATGTGCTGTCCCACAGGGATTCCTAGGAGAACCAACGCTGTACATACTGTGATGGAATCCTGAATGTAGCATGTCCAGAAGAAATGGGGACAGTTGGCTCTGTAGACGATTTAGAGATTGTCATAACCGCCAAATCAAAAACTGAAAACGGTAACAAACTATGCCTTGTACAATATCACAGTATGAATAAGTTCTAAAGGTCTGCGCCTGGCTCCACTAAAGACGGAGGCCGTGCATGAAATACCAATCAAAAACATATGCCTAGAGAGCACAATTGTGGAAAGTTTAGCAAATGTCGAGTACTTAGAAATCACCCTCGTTAGAAAACTGAATATGGGAGAGTATGTGAAGAAATTAGCAGGAAGAGAAAATAAAATGGTATATGCTTTGCCAACATGAACAAGAGCGATGGAGAGGATGAACTTCGAAGAGTTTCATTTAGTGTGCAGCGGAAAATGACAATATATAACCAGCTCATACAAAACTGCCTCAGCAAGAGCGCTATTGATCATAGCACGAATCTGATATCGAAACATGGGTGTCAAGAAAACATACCAAAACAAGTTATCATATCACCCAATGCTTTTGGAGCATGGTTGTTTCGAAGCCGATGAAAAACATTTTCGCTGGGGTGGCGAAGATAGCTGTATCTACTATGAAGAAAAGGATAGTGGAGCATACATTTTTCGGATACATAAAAGAGATCGAATCCTAGCAAAACACCAAACCAATCAATTTACGCCGGACACATTTATGAATAGAATGCTGATTAGAAAAAAAATACAAAGGGAAAAATGAGCATAGGAAAATAAGCCGCGATGGGCAAACAACAAAAACAAACAATGAAAACATCAAAACATTTCTCTCTTTATGAGTTAATTCCACAAGCAGTCCGGGAAAGAGCCACTAAAGTAATAGTGAGAAAGGATTTTAGACAGTAAGAGTCCGATACTGCCATAGAGGTAGTCCATGAGAAATTCCCCCCTCCTAAGAAAAAAAATCCTCTGTCATCAACTTATGAATCAAATTGAAGGATTTTTCTGTTTCTTCCTTCCTTTCGAATTGGCGGTCTCCCTTCTTCAACAGCTTGAATAGGCTTATTATCATTGCTAAGTTCGGAAGGAAGTTTTTCTGGGTGCATTCAACACTGCTGCTACTTTCTCAAAACTTTTCCATAATCGTTCAGTGTCTGTAACATGGCCCAAATATTCAAACTCTTTTTAAAAAAACAATAATCTTTGTTCAAGGTCAGCCACGTGTCTTTCATACGTTTCAACACTATTTCTGAGTTTATTTCGGAATTGATTCTTTTTTTTTGAAGAGTTCCACATTTTTGTATGAAAATGGAGAAGTAGAAAGCCAAAAACTTCCTTTCCCTAAAACCAATCACTCTTTAAAATATGCCCCTTTCAATTCAAGTTGATCTATTCCAATCTTCGTTTTCCAGTAACACTACTTTTAATTTTTTTTCTCAGCTTTATAATCAACATCAGTAGTCGAATGTTTCGATCTGGGATGGAAAGAGTCATTGTAAAACGTTGAATTGTGATTATTGTAGATTAGATATATTTATTTGGGAAAATAGTCTAGGAAAGTTTATTTTACGGATGCCGCGTACGTCCTACCTATACTTCTCTCGGTGCTATCAAGCGGGCTGAATCAGTCGAACACTTTTCGTAGAAGTATCGTAGAATAGAGGTAGGTCTCATATCTACCTTCCATTTTCCAAACGTGTATATTGATTTTATCTTCAATCAGTCGGACGGCTCTTTTCTGGAGAGAATCCAGCATACTCTGATGCAAATCTCTATATGTGAGAAATATTTCAGAAAATGTTCACTTCAGGTTATTTTCAGGGCAAAAAATGAGCAATCTCTTCATCAGTTCAGGAATAGTCTGAAGTACTTTCTCAATTTCAAGTAAAGTTCATCACACGGGAATTTAAAATTGGTGTTGTTTGGTTTCATTTCATACATAATGTTGAAAAATATTCATTGCTTATATTTTGTGGCTTGCCAGACTATAGAAACTCATATTCTAACAAAAATCTTTTCACATATCTATCGATCGATCCTTAGTCACTCCCATTTCCATTCTTCTGTAATAATTGGTCCTCCTCCAGGAATGGAACTAGTCGTAACTATGCTTGGCCATGTTCCATCTCATTTGCATCGCATAAATACGAATATATTTCAGACTGTTACGTCCATATGGTTTTTTTCTGCCTGAATCTAATAGATTGTTTTTGTTTAGCACACATAAATCACATAAGGGAAGTCGCCGGAGTGGACAGCGTAGGACTAGGAGCTGGCTACGATGGAATTAATTTGTAAGTATGTTTTTGAATTTAGTCCCGATTCATTTCTGAATGTTTTTTCTCTGACCTAGTGATTCTAATGACTAATTTCTTGACCGCAATAAAAATATTACATATTATTTCATTCCTACCTTTCGATACATTTATTGTTGTTGAACATGAATCTTTTTCGAAAATGAACTCACAATCCTTATCAATCTAGTGGTCTGACCAGGTATACTATTTTATAAACTGATAATTACGATGGTGAGACGATAAAGAACTCGGACGAGATCGGTCCCTTTCGAACTGCAGATATGGCTGGATACAAATTCGGATGGGTAACGTCAGATCTAAATTTTGGTGTGGAGGGTAATTTCTGAATTTTGGGTGCGTGAATTTATATATAACAGTATGTGCGTGTATATTTGGTAATTTTCATGTTAAATGTTTCAAATGTTCGAAATAACCACTGTTCCCATACACCAGATCTACAACACTCTTCTTGACGCACGTTTCACAAAGCAAGTTGGCGTTTTCAGGAGATAGGGTTCACTAATTGCTGACTCTGTCAGCAGTCAAAAGTAATATTGTTGTGATATTGACAAAGTCAGATATCACTATGAGATAATTGATGATTCAACTGAAAACGAACCCTACATTAACGTTTGAATGGTTGACATGGTTTCAGAAATGAACAACACACCTAGGGCGTGTGATTTGTTTACCTCCGCCTCCGCCATAAGTTTCCTTGATTGTAAAATTGCTGTATAGCTAACCAAGTTTTAAACTATCTCACGATTTATTTCGAAGTTTGTTGACATATAAATTCATAAATGAAATTGAAGATGTTGAGTTGGGAGATTTTAATATCTTTTGATGTATCGTTGTTGTTTCGAAGTGTCCCTCTACCAAAAACTATTGAATATTTGCAAAATCTTCTGATGGGTGTCAATGATCTCAGTGAAAAAATAATCGAAGACAAAAGATAACTATCAAGAATCTGCAAGCAACAGAATTGTTTCCAGTTCACAACTGTTGAACTGGAAACATGAGAGAGAAACAAGAGAGTCATAGTTACGACCGCACCGGGGGGCCTGGGGGACCGGTTAGGCCCCCATTTTCGGGAAATCCTTGCGGGTACCGCCCCTCACCCCACACCTACAGGATTTCGCAGGGCTTCCTCCCGCTCACCGAACCCGGAATTGCTTCCTTACATCTACTTAGTGTGGCTAACCAAGAGACAGGACCATCGGCAGCGTTCGACCTGTTACCCCCAGGGGCACTCATGTTAGGAAAGTTACCTTTCCAGCGTTGGATGAGTAACCGCCGAGGGCTCTTGCGAGACACCTCTCCCACACATCTAGCTTGAAACCGGCCAACGCCTGTTACCCGCAGGTGCGGGATTGGGTGGTTGACCGATAACTTTACTGGGTGAGTGCCGTGTGGTCTGCACCGGGGGACTGTCAAACTCCCATAAGAGAGAGACAGTGATCCCCCGCCACTCACCCCGCCATTTTTTTGTTCAGAAGCCTTTATATGGAAATTCTGTAGTACAAGAAGAAATTTATCCAAAAAATCTGAGGGCAGTTTTATGAACATTTTCACATGCTTTTTCCAACGGTATTTTCTGTTCAGTGGTAGTGGTTTCCTATCTGGAGATTTTATAGTATGAGAAACACTGTTTTCTTTTAGGACTTCTATGGCCATCCAGAGAAATGTGAAGGCACTTTAATACATGTTTCCACATGCTCTTTCCAAATGTATTTTTTGATTAGTGGCAGCAGATCTTCATCTGTAAATTTCATAGAACGGAAAAAAAATTCAAGTCTTCTACGGCCATCCAAAGAAATATTAAGGCTGTGTGTGTGGTTTCAGAAATGAGTATTCTGTCGATTGATGGATATTATCCAGTAAATTACTCCTGTCACAGTATTTACGAAGGAGGTGGCACTGCCTTGTGGAATAAATAAGGTCTAGCGACAATTTCTTCGAACATCAGTAATATGAGTTTCGAAAAAGATTTTGCATGATGTGGATGTGACTATGAGATTTGAAATGACTGTGGTAAAACGTTTACCATTTATACAGTGTCATCCCCAAAGTATGTACCACATGGGAAACTCATTTATTAAGGGTTTATTAATAAAAGTTTGTGCATCTCCTAAAACTAAACATGCACCAACACAAAATACAGTAAAACACACGTGATATACGAGGAGCCTTCAAATACTTGATTGTGAGACAAGAGTAAAGTACTCTTATTTTGAAAAATCTTGTGAAATGTTATTCGAAAAAGTTGTTCAGTAATAAAAAATACATCTTGATTTGTAGTCATGGTCATCTAAATGGGGTTTCATTTTTTACCAATTTTTTTAAATGAGCACTACGAAAAAAATTTTGCTAAAACGATAAATAGACAGCATCCTGTATACAACGGTTTATTTTGAAAGCCTGAAATATTACGAATTACACAACTATGGTGTTAACCACGGTCAATTTTTTTGAAGAGTGAAACAATTTTCATAAAAAAAATTGGTAAAAAAATAAAACTCCACTTAGATGGCCATGACTTCAAATCTGAATTTCAATGCTAAACAACTTTTCTCCATAACAGTTCCCGACATTTCTCAAAATCAAATATTTGAAGGCTCCTCGTAAATTACGTGTGTTTTACTGTATTTCGTTGGTGGATGTTCAGTTCTAGGGGATGCACAAACTTTTATCAGGAATAACTTTTTGTTGAAAAAGCCTTAATAAATAAGTTTTCCATACGGTGCATACTTTGGAGATGACACTGTACATCTCCAATCGGCAATTTCCATATTTTTGTAGCCAAATTCAAGAATGGATTCATGATATTTTTAAAATAGAAGGGAAAATATGGATGGAAGGTGATTTCAACATAGATTTCAATAACTTTTCAAATGAAATATATGAATTACTTAACATCTTTGAACATTTTGGATTCAGTGTTTTCCAATAGTCGAAAGTAACGGCAAGATCTAGTTTAAAGATTCCCAATACATTTTCGAATATAAAAGATAATGGACAGATTATCTCAATTAACAGATCATTATCGTTTCTCACTAGAGCAATCGGGAAATATATTCATTTGGAGATTATTGTTATGAAAATGAAATTAACTTTGGCTAATTGTTCAAAGTGGATATTGCCACTCTATTTATGAATCAACTTCCTGCAATGGAAATTATGAATGTTTTTGAATAGGTCACAGGGTCACTTCTTCATTTATTTTTCATGAAAAACATATTGTGGAAATTTCAAACTCTGAAAAACGTATGAAATTATACAGTCAAGTATTCAGCTGGAAAAAAATTTTAATCTCCAGAAAAAATATTCGAATCTAAAAGAGCAACATGTTCTTGCATAAAAACACTATCAACTTGTCGACTCTTTTAATCATTATGAATAAATAATTCAATGGTCTGATGTAATGTTTCTGATATTGCGAGAATAAATCATGTATTTCTCACATTTAATGTACTTTCTCAGAAATACTGATTACAAATCACATGAAAGTTTCTTTCCCCAATAGTAGTTTCCCCAATAACAGCATTATATGAGAATTCTGTAGTCTTGGGGAAGGAAGCTTTTCGGCTCTCCACTCCTCAATTTACAAAGGAAGGAAAAAGGCAATCAAGTTTGAAATCAACTATTCTTCACAAAGATGTGTAAATCATACAGAGAAGTTACTTCCAAAAAAAACTCTTCCGAAACTATTACTTTCACATCAACATTGAATCACACGTTAAATCACACGTTGAAAGGTGAGACCTTGTTAGTCCTTACCTCGCTCAAGTTTCGACTTCTGAAGGTTATCGTTCGTAGGGGTGCGACCTCTGGTTAACAGAAAAAACATATTTTGAACAACATATTTAAAAAAATACTTTTTAACTTATGAATATTTATGAACACTGAATTATACGAAAGTAACTTTCCAATTTGCAATATTTCAGAGATTATTTGAGTGACTTTTCGAAATGATTGATACCAGAGGTATTCGGGAAGACTCGAAATTCGCAAGTTTAGTTTTGATTTTTTTCTGACGTTATTTGACAAGACATCAAAAAACAGAAATTACTTTCTTACTACCACTTTCCTGCTGTATAGAATAACGAATCTGACGTTTCTTTCTGAGAAACTATAGCCGATTTGACATTTTTATATGACGTATTCAAAAACATCTTTGATGTCAGATTTCCACTTGAAAGTTCACAAAACCGCGACACGTGTTTCGCTATGCGATAGCATCCTCGGGCTTAAAATATGAACAGGAAAAAATTTTTCGTTGTAGGATTATTTTTTCATAACCAAAATATATGGAAACATATATACGAAATGTTCCCATTTGAATCAACTTTTTTGGCTATTACTTTATTTCCGTTCCATTCAATATTTCTAGAACTCAGAACAAAAGAGTCTGATTTTCTTGAATATTTGAATTTCATGCAATTTCTTGATTTGAAATTCTCAATTTCATTTCCTTCTGAAGTCGGTTTCAGTTTGTACGTACGCTTTTCACTCCCTCTTCATTACTATTTTTAATTTCAATCATCCGCTTTTCTCTGTTTCAAAGCAGCCGTTCTCTGTGGTATTTTTCCGCTTTCATTTTGGTGTTGACTTTAGTTACATTGAAAGTACGTAACGTCCTTTATTTCATTAAATGCCGTAATGAAACCCAAAATCTAATCCGCTAGGGTAAATATTAAGTTGGAAAATGTCTTATTTCCGCCTTTCCCCGGGGTTTCTTGAATCGTCGCTATTTGCAGAATTAATAAATGGTAGCAGGTGGAGTGTAAATTGAAAAAAAACATTACCAAGATCACTGATATAATCTTAGTAATTTCGTTAGGAGCCCACTGTTGAAATTTTCACAGCGATGGATAACAAACAATGGGCTACTTACAACAACTCTCGCTATTTGCTCTCAAATTCCAATAAAACCCTTCTATTTATCAATACAAATTAACATATTCATTTGCTTATTCAAAAGAAAGGTTATAAATAAT